AGGTTATAGCCTGAAATAGATAACCATCTTCTAATACCCCACAGGGGATCTAGATATTAGAAGGCAATTTCTACTTTCCATTTTCTTTCCTCCTGACGTAACAAAACTGTCATTTTATAACTGTGTATCATGTTGTATTGCCTCAGTTTCTCTAATGCATCCTTTCCAAGTTTCTGCTATGTAGCAAGCAGATTTATCATTCCCATTATCCAGGTCACTGAGAGTGAATACAGACCTGTTTGCAAGCTGATGAAGGTATTTCAAGGGACACCAATTCTCCAGTAACACTCATGCTTCTCTAGCTGGGCTTGAGGTGTGAGATTTAAAAGGCCCCCTCCTCAGCAAAGGCTGCAGGATTCTGCTTTATTTTTACATCGGGCTTTGCATTGGGCAGGTATTTCAATGACTTTCTCTATGCTTGGGAATGATCACCTCCTCTCTTCCTTGGTTGGCAAAACTTTGGTGCAAAGGTCTGGGGTTTCTAGGCTATGAGGAATCAGGAATATGCTTTTCCTGGCTATTTCTTAGCAACCCAGAGACACTGGTAACCAGAGTGCATCTGTGTGAACTTTGGTATTTCACAGAAAGAGAGATCTTTACTTCTCTCTCGGCACGTCAGGGTTGTCAGGTGATAAGAAATATTGTCATCTCCCTGTCGTCCTGGCAAACGGAAACTACAAGATTTGAACGTGAAAGAGCTTTAAGAAATGTTTTATTGCCATGTTATTTTTTTTCCACCTGAAGCCGACTGATCCCACGCCACAGAAATGCAATTATCCGTGTGTTACAAGTTGCTCTTCTTATCTTCATTGTGAGCACGTCACTCGGTTCAGCTCCCTTAATGCCCCTCATGGCAAAGTATAACATTAAATGTTGATCTCTTCATTATGATTTCCAAGAAAAGAACTAGCGTGGCCGCCAAGATTCTTTGTGAAGCTGGCTTGGCACACACATGCTGTGTGACTAATTTGCTTCATTTCTAGCCAGGAACCTCAACAAAGACGGACACTTTGCTTGAGATGATTCTTTGTTGGGGGGGCGGAGGGTCTCACGTGTGCCTTACGGGTGTTTAAGTAGTATTCCTGAGACACCAGTGGCAACTTTGAGGCAACTCTGTGACAAAAAGCCTCCCAATACTGTTCTGGGTACAAAAATCACCTTTTGTTTAAAAAAGAAAACAAAAAAACATGGTGTTTATCAGGTAATCCCTGCTACTCCAGGGACTTAGATGAAAGGATTGTGGTTCCAAGCAAGCCCAGGTAGATGAATCCAAGAGAGTCTGATTTTCAGCTAACCAATACAGAGCTGGGAGCGCAGGTGTGGTTCAAGTGGTAGAGTACCAACTTGAGTGAAAAAGCCGAGTGAGAGTACAAGGCCCTGAGTTCAAGCCTCACTATCAGCAGGTGCACAAAAAAGAACTCATCTTAAACCTTGGTCTCAACTGTGTAGCTTCCCCTGTGAAAGTGGAGAACTACTGTTTTTTGTTTGTAGGGGTTTTGGGGAGCTCAGTACTGGAGTTTAAACTCAAAGCCTTGTGCTTGCTAGGCAGGTCTCTCATCATCACGCCTCTGATGCCTTCAGTCTTCTTCACATGGTTATTTCTAAGATAGGGTCTCCCTTTAGGCCCATTTGGGCCTAGAATATGAGCCTCCTGTTTGTACTTCTCTTGGTTGCTGGGAGAACAGGAGGCAGCTCTATGCCCAGCCATTCTGCTCCCTCCATAGTTGAAGATGACACATGTACACCACTGACCCACTCCTGGAGTCTCATCAACTCCCCCTACATCTCAGGCTGGCCTGAACCTCCATACTTCATCTCTACCCTCTAAGTACCCAGGATTACAAACTTGAGCTGCCCTGTCTGAGTAGAGCTAGTTTGTTTCAGATGAAATGATGCATCTGAAAGAGTGATCATCTATGTGCACCTAAGGTACTATATTATTCCATAGAGCTGTCGATTCCCGCAATGCATTGGGGATCTCTTTATGGCACTTGGCAGGTCTCAGCTGGCAGAACACGATGAGGGCATTTAGGAGAAATTTATCCTGCTCGCAACTGAAAACCCAGAAGTTAAGCACTTCAAAACACATTTATATGTTTTTAAAACCTGTGCTTGAGTGCCAAATGGGAAGTCAATCCACCCTCCTATTGTAGTCATTTATTATAACTTTGAAAGTCCTCAGAAAAGAAGACAATGAGAGTGGGCTTAATTCTACTAGAATAATCAATATCCATTAAGATATGATATTCATATCAAGTTAATTTGCCTTGCAAGTGCTCATCTGGAGAAAGCGTATGCTGTAGCCACTACCTCAGAAGCAAAGGGCTTCTAAATGTTCTCCTCCAAAGACAAGGTTCTGCAGAAGGCAAGCATGCTTGGCAGGCACCTTTGGAGAAATCAGCTTAGAGGAAAGATATCTAAGTTGTTCTCTTCAATATAAAAACCTATTACTTAGTACAGCTAATTGAATTAAAAGTAGACACAAGGCTGATTCAGAGCCCACCAGGAATAAATGGCACACTGCAGACAGAACTGGAATGTTCCTGTTCTGGGTGAAATGTAGGGCATACCAAACCTAGGTCTTTCTATAGTCTGCTGAGATCTATAACTTCAAGTGCTGTTGGGGATTGTTAGAAGTTTCAAGGTTTCCTGGAGGGTTCTGTAGTCATTCATTCTTCAGATGACAAAAACAAAAAATGCTGTGTGCAACAGGTCTTTTGCACTCAATTTTGTTCTTTTATTTCTTCCACACAAAAAGAGGAAGGTTAACTGAATGCAATTGTTAGGTGCGATTGTTTCTTTGTGCCAGGCAACTTTTGCATAATGCTAAGCAACCAAGTTCTTACAAAAGATTCAGAGACACAAACAAAATGAGTTCCAAGATGGGGAGAGTTAAAATGAGTATCTTGTTGCTGCTGGTGATGAATCATGTAGAAGGAAGATAGTGTACAGAATTAGAAATTGAGGGCACAGAAGTAAAGGAGAGCAACTGGAAAAGGCCGCCTGATTCAGGGTCTAACTGACCCCCACAAATGGATACTAACAAGAAACCCAAAAGTTGGAGCAATGACAAAATATCTAGGAACTCAAGAGATTGTTTTTCCTCACCCTTTCCTTCATTTCAATCCTGTGTTAGTCTTCTCCAGAAATATTTACATCCCCAATGTGGCATGCAATATACATGTACAGTGACATTGCATATTTTAAACCAACTACAGTTTCTTTTGATTGACAGCATTGAAAAAGAAGCAGAATATCATATCGATGCAGTAGAGAGTCTGGTCCTTTAAGTTTTGGTAGATAAAGAAAGGTTCATGGAATAAGAAGAGACATTTTCCTTTTGGGTTTAAACCTGTAATAAAATGTTGCTGACAGACTAATTATAAATGTTTTATATATTTTGTGCAGATGGGTTCCTTGCTAAACCAATTTAATTCCCATTAATGCTAATCTTGTTAATACCCACTCAGAGAGCAAAGGAATACTCTTAATAAACTATTGATTTATTTAGACCATTGAAATAGGGGGATGTGTGGGAGTTGATAGAAAAGGAAAAACCACCATTTTACCACCACTGTATGTCTTACAATATTTTCCAACTATTAATGAGTATTCAGTAGTTGATGTGAGTGAGGGATGGGAGGAGGGGAGGTGTAAAGTGGCAAGTGACCATGTCCTACCCATAAAAATGAAGGTATTTCAAGTGAGTTGTCAAGTGACAAGGTTTTAGTCCTAGCTGCAGACAAGTACAATATTACAATCAATGTAGCCATTCTTTCTTCACAAAGAGGTTAAGGAAAGGTAAGATGCACACTTGCAAACTAATTTATTGGGTTTCTTCTTACTCTATTTTTTGTGCCTATCCTGGGGCTTGAACTCAAGGCCTTGTGCTCTCACTTGGCTTTTTCATTCAAGTCTGATGTTTTACCATTTAAGATATACACCTCCACTTCCAGCTTTTTGGTGCTTAATTGGAGGTAAGAGTGTCACAGACTTTTCTGCCCTAGCTAGCGTTTAACCACAATCCTCAGATCTCAACTTCCTGAGTAGCTAGGATTACAGATGTGAGCCACCAGCACCCAGTTGGGTTTTTCCTTAAAACACAAGAACAAAATAGTCATATCAACCAACATGTAATATTCTCACATTCTGAGTGTAGCTGTCTATTTTGCTCTCAGCAGAAGAATTCAGTAATTTTCTTTTAAGCTTAAATCAACCATCAGCCTGTTAAATTTCCCTTTCTCAGAGTAAATGGCTAAGAGCCAAGGTAGGCTCTTACAAGACACTATGTCCGGGTCTTAATGGTTTTCTTGAACACAATTATGGAATAAGAACTGGAGCTTAGACATTAGTCACCACCCTGTCTCTTCTCAGATACTGGATTCCAAAAGCCCCTATCTTATTTCCCATCTTTCCTTGCAAAAAGGTATGAAATAAAATAGTGGAAGATGGGGGATTTTTGTCCAGGATCCACATCTTGCTTTAAGGTATGTCATGGAACTTCCCTGAGACTGTTATTTCCTCATCTGTGAAATTGAAATAATCATCTTTCTGTACTCTGGTAGCATGTGTTAGCATAAGGATCAAAAACAGATCAGAAAGCAGTGTGAAAATGGGTGTGCAAATGTACAGGAGTAACTGGAAAATATGTTTAATTTAACGAAGTGACATGAGTCCAAGGGAAGGAGACCTAAGAATAGACATGAGGATTGGATAGCTTGTCAAATAGAAAGAGAACAGAGCAATGTTTACCCTTAAGATTCTGTTGTTTGTTGTTGTTTGGGGCCTATACTGGGTCTTGAACTAAGAATTTAGGTGTCCTCCTTTAACATTTTTGCTCAAGGCTGGCACTCTTCCACTTGTGGCCATCCCTCTAATTCTGCTTTTTTTTGGTGGCTCAGTGGAGATAGGAACCACATGGCTTTTCCTGCCAGGGCTGGCTTCAAAACCTCTATCCTTAGATCTCAGTCTACTGAGCAGGTAGGATTACAGGTGTGAGCCAAGACACCTACCTGGCATTCTAAAATGCTTAATAATACTTATCCTTTATGACAGGGTATATGGAAAATAAAATAAGAACTGACAGGTGAGCGTATTTAATTGAGTGCAGTTTTCTTGTTGTGTTCATCCCAAATGTGGTGCATTGGTTACACATGAAGACGGAAGGGAGGGAGCCTTCATTCTTTGAAGGAAGAAAATACTGAAACAAATATTTCCAGCTCAAACATTACACTGCCTTTTCTGTACCGATTGATAAAAAAATATATTATATTTTAGATTATTTTTTTAAATTATATTTGCTATCCATCCCAGCCAAAGTCCTGGCCGGTCATCTGGTAGAACTTGAGGTTGAAGGGCCGGTAGAAGTCGCGCAGCCTCTGCACCACGCCGGGGTCGATGTCGGGGTGGGTCCTGCCTTTGGTCTTGCCCAAGCAGTGCGGCTTGCTGCTGCCCTCGGCCTTCTTGAGGCAGGGGAAGCCCTTGGTCTTGTTGAAGTAGAAATGCTTGTCGGTGATGATGCGCTTGAGGCCCAGGAAGTCCTGCACGCGGCCCAGCTCGCCCGCAGGGTCGCGGATGAGGCGCTCGCCGCTCACGAAGAGCATCTGGCCGAGCGGGAAGTGGCGCAGCCAGTGCTCCAGGTGCTTGGCGTAGATGCCGATCTGGATGGCGCTCCACGACGTGTCGATGAGCCCCGCGCTGCGGTTGCGGAACGTCAAGCTCTCGAAGCTGGGGATGTCGGGCCGCTTGGACAGCGTCTGCGTGTAGTCGGAGATGGCCCTGGTCACCGGGTCGCGCACCACCACGATCAGCTTCGTGTCCTTGGACATGGCCGAGATGCGCGCAGGCGCCTCCCGCGTCACGAAGTAGCTGGGCGTCTTCTCCATGGTGATCTGCCCGTCCAGGGTCCTGGGCATCAGCTCCCTGGAAAGAGAGGCAGGATCAACAAGGCTTGTGAGAGTCGGAGGAGGGAGGAGGGCCTGGCCCTGAGGGGCACAGTCTGGTTCTAGGGCACAAAAGATCCAGGACCGTGTCCTGCAGGGACATGCTGTGATGGTTACTATTAATATTTAATATAATTAATATAATATTATATAATTAATTATGTATTAATTAGTATAATATTAATACAACTAATTATATTAATTATGTGTTAATTAATATAATATTAATGATATATACTTTTTTCTTTTTTTGGAAGGACTGGGGTTTGAACTCAAGTGCTTCTTTGCCTGCATCCTTTGCTCAGCTGGTGCTATACCAGTTGAGCCATGCCTCCAGCTCAACTTTTTTGCTAGTTATTATGGAGATGGAATCTCACAGACTTTTCTATCCAGGCTGGCCTTGAAACACCATCTCTTCAATCTCAACCTCCCGCATAGCTAGAATTATAGGCATGAGCCACCAGCAGCTTGAAGATTATAGTTAACATAATATCATCATGCACAGTTGTCTTTCCTTATCTCTGGTTTGACTTTGCCTGGTTTTAGTTACCTACCTTCAACTGTGGTCCAAAACTATGAAAGGGATATTCTAGAAATAAGCCATTTGTAAGTCTAAAATCATGTGCCACTTTGAGTAGATGAACTGTTTCACTATGTCAATTTATCCTGCTCAGTGTCAATCATTTTTCATCCAATGTATTCACATTGTATAATGTTACCCATCTCTTAGTTCTCTACCCTCCAGTGACTACACTGAATATACTACCTGCCCGTTAAGACAGTGACTTGTCTTCATAATTCCTGAGGGAAGTTTTTTTGTGTGGGACCAACAGAATATTAAATAATCTATCTTTTATTTGATTATTTGAAATGCCCTCATTATCATATTATAAATATCTTAGTTTCTTTCTCCACTAGCCTTCTTATAAATTATTATCACACTGCAATTTATTATTTCTAATTCTGATGATTGATTTGTTTCAATAAACTCTGCAGTTAATTTTCTTTTGAATTTGTAATAAAATACTTTGTTGAATGAGATTCCCTCTGTTGATATATTCAAGTTTTGTCATTTATTCTGTTTGCATATATATAGTATCAAATATGAAAGCAAATAAATTGCAAAAATGAATCTTAAGTTCTCACATTCACCTTCAAAAATCTCAGGCACTGGTACCTCACACCCTGTCATTGTAGTGATCCAAGGGGCTGTGATCTGAGAATCATGGTTCAAAACCAGCCTGGACAGGAAAGTCCATAAGACTCTTATCTCCAATTAGCCACCAAAAATCTTTAAGTGGAGGTGTTGCTCAAGTGGTAAAGTGCCAGTCTTGAGCAAGAAAGCTAAGTGAGAATGTGACATCTGAGTTCAAGCCCTTGTATCAGCACAAAATTCATAACTAATGACCAGTTTCATTCATAAATCCCTTCATCTGCACCCCCAACATGGCAAATAAATAAACTTACAGTTAATCACAGATATCATGTCTATTAGTTTGCAGGTTAAATATTCAACACCAATTCCTCACCCGACAAAGTATTTCTGTGGTATTGATGTATTCTAATTTAATGACAGAGGTTTTACCCTAGGTTTTGTTTTCTGTGATCATTTCAACAAAATGTTCTTCTGTTATTTTTTGAAGGGAGAATAAAAGTTATATATATATATATATATATATATATATATATATATACACACACACATATACATATATATGATTTCTGTTGCTGATTTTTTTATTTTAAAAGAAATTTGTAATTTGTTTTTGAAAAGCATTTCTGATGTACCTCACTAAAACTGAGCCTTTACATATACCTTAAGTGCCAGCGATAGCCAACCTAGCGAAGAGGAGATATCAAGGAGATGTGTATTGTTCCTCACTATCCCTTCCAACTTCACAGTGTCAATTTCACAGTGCGACTCCCTTCAGAGAACTCAGAGGTGACCAGGCCAACAAGCTCTGGGAGGGAGCTCAGGTTAGTTACTTGTGTATGAGATAAGCTGGGAGATCTACTCAGAGATGGTTCGAATTTCTCAGTGAAAGAAATTTGATCAAATGTGTGGGAATGGTTCAGTCTGTAAAAGCAAACACCAAACGCACCACAGTGATAAGAAAAAGTATTTGTTGATTTAAATACAAAAGGTCAACATTCCTGTCTCCTTTCCTATAAGCTTTGGCTTTTAACTACTTTAAGTTTTGGCCTGCCTCTCACACACAGGTATCAGACTTCAGTGGGGAGCTTCTGGTTTGGCTTGTGGGGGCCTGGGGGGGGGGAGATACCCAAGAGCCTTTCTCCAAGACTGAAGCTATAGTCTGTGAAAACACTACTAACACAACTGAAGAAGAAACTGTTGTCTAAAATTACTTGAATAGAGTGGGGTAAAGAACTATCCAAACGAGGAGCTTAAAAAGGAAACTGCTGAAACAGGATTTTGAAAGAAAAGGACACATTAATTACAGACAGTTGTCGGCAAGATGAAAACTGACTGGGTGGTATGAAGGAAGGGTGTCAGGCTTAACCCATGTTTGCTTTTTGGGAAAAAAAAGAAACCCAAACCCAAAAAGTGGTAGCCTAAATAAATTCTAATTTAAGTTTGGATTGTGAAGAACAAGTTACTTTGTAAAAGGCCTTACCTGAGACATTAACTTGCACTACCCTTTTTAATTAAGTCATTTTCCTATTGCAGACTGGACTTGAATGTTTAAAATGGGGCTAACAGAACTGGTGGGACAAAGGGTGAACCGATTCAGCAGTTAGAAATGAACTATACAATTTGGGAGGGGGGAAGTTGGGAGGGAAAATACTGGGAGGGAATGAGGGAGAGGGTGACACTATTCAAAGGAAATGTATTCATTACCTGAATCATGTAACTGTAACCCCTCTATACATCACCTTTCCAATAAAATTTAAAAACAAAAAATGGTGCTGAGGGAGGAGGTGGGGAGCTGGGGAGGAAAGGAATGGTAGGGGAAAAACAAAGGAGGGGATAACAATGCTGGATTGGAAATGGACTCATACATGACCTTACTCATCTAACTGTAACCCTTCTGTACAATATCTTTACAAACTTTAAAAGCTTCATGGAGTTTCCTGTCTGGGCTGGCTTTTGTTAGTCTATTCTTATATCCACCTGATATTTGATCCTAACTATATAACACATTTTAATAAATTCAGTATAAGTTTAAAAAATGGTGCTGATATTCTTATGAAATGAAATGTACCTGTAAGGCAGAATACTGGATTCCCAGGGTTTGAGAGGACCTGGGAATTATCCTTCCTTAACCCCTGTAAGGCATATGCTAGGTCTTTACTCTATGTAAGCAGGTGGGCCATGTATGGACAGTGAAAGCCCTAACATCATGAAGGGTGTAAAGAAAACCCAGCCAGGTTCTGGGAAGCCCAGGGGATTTCCTTAAAGATGGAGCTGATTGGTGGGAGGGAAAGGTCCCAGAGGACTTTATACTTCCAGGCTACATAGTATGCACGGCTCCAATTTCATCTCTACATTGTGAAGAAGATTTGGAAACTTTTCTAGTAGGTGTTGAGAATGGGGTAGAGACCAAATGGTAAGAAGAAATTAAAGTGTCCTAAAGGATACAAAGGTGAGAAAGGTGTTCACAAGCCAGTTACTATTACCAGGTTCTTTCTCTAAAAGACTCGGTGAGAATTCACAATAACTAAAAAGTGGAAGCAGTTAAACTGCTCACCAATGAACTGGGTATGGTATAGACATGCAAAGCAATATTATGGGGCTATAGAAAAGAAAGAAATTCTGTCATGTGATAGAATATGACATTATGCTAAATGATATAATCCAAGCCCAAAAGAAAACTACTGCCTGATCCCACTTTAGTGAGGTTATCTCAAGTCGTTAAATCATAAAAACAGAAAGCAAACTGGTTTCTAAGACTTGTGGGGAAAAGGAATGGAGAGAGTGGTGCATGCTGAGTTAGAGTTTCCCAAGATTAAGAGTTTTAGATACTGATTGCATCGACATGTGTAACTATTGAACACTATACTAAACCTATAGACAGGTAAGAACAGAAATTTGGTTATGTATAGTTTACAATAATTCTTTTCTATAGAAGCATGCAGGAGTGAGCAAAGGCCATGAATGGATAGGAAAGCATTTAGTGAAAACAAAGGAGTCAGTTGGCTTTGCAATTAATTAAGTATTGAAGCCAGGTATTGAAAGAGCTGTGGTTTTGTTTTCCTCCTGCTGGACCAAAGGGGCATGAAATAATTTATGACATTCTGGGGAGCTGATCTGAAAGCAGGAAAATGATCTCTTCTCACTGCTTGGCTGGGTGACCTCAAGCCACTCATTTAATTTCACTCAGCTCAGTTTCTTCATCTCACGAAAACCAGTCCCAACATTGAGGAAATCTGGACCACAATGGTTGTGTCAGCATGGCCATCATTACCGGGTACCTACCAAGCATTGTTTGCAGTGGTTGTTGCTTGTTTTGTTTTGTTAGCAGTACCGTGGTTTGAACTCAGTGGTTTGTACTTGCCCAGAAGGTGCTCTATTACTCGAGCTACAACTTTAGTCATGTTTGCTTTTGCTAACGGATGGCTAGCATCTTGCACTTTTTTCCCTAGGCTAGGCTCCAGCTAAGATCTTCCTACTAACATGTCTCGTGTAGCTGGGATGACAGGCATTTCCCACCATGTCTGGCCTGCCAATGATTGATTTTAAGGAAGTGAAGCCCAAGATTCTGTCTTCCTAACTTCCAAATGACCCTCATTTGGTCCAGGTAAGAGGGGTTCCGAGAAGACCAGAGGTAGGCCTCTCTGTCATGTTTCTCCTATATTCAAGCATCGGACCACTTGATGCTGAGGCAGTGAAGAGACGTACTCTGAAGACCATGAAAGGGCTGTTGTCTTTTGAAGAGCAGAAACTGACATGTTAGGGTATCAGAACTGAGCTTGGGGCTTAAGAGGATTCCCTCTTCTTCCACGGTATGTGAGGAATTA